CAGTCTACTCAGAGATGATGTTTCCCATTACGTACTTTGAAAACATTAAGATACCCAGAGAAACAGAAATAACATATTTATATAGTGCATTATTGTTTACCAAGCACTTTCACATAGCATCTGTAATCTGCTGTCATTCTTGCAGCAAGTCTGAAAAATAAGTACCTAAAAGGGTATTTTCTCCATTTTAGAGTTAAAGACACTGAGAGTAAGAAAAGTTAATGACTTTCCCAAGATCAATATGAATCTGGCAATGTGATATTTACAATATAGCAATATATGAAAATAGAAAAGCCTGTTATTAGGAGACAAATAATAAACAGAAAACTAAAATTATTGGCATTTCAGTTTTTTATTTCAAAGTTTCTAGGAAGTGAATATCTACTTCCATTAAAAATAAAAACACTGTTAGTAAATATAATCGTAAATGATAATTTAATCTCTTACCCTTATTCAGCAAAAAAATCACTTAGGGAAATGCATCATTATTATTATTCTATTGGTAAACTAAGAAAGTTAAGTCAATTTATGAGGTAAAATATACTCAGTGTCAATAAGTCTCCCTTGGTGCTGGAGGTTGAGGTTAGGAACCTCTTGAAAGTTGAGCTGTTACATAACCACATGTAAATGCACATAGTGAATTGGTGCCAAGGTAAAGAGATGACCCACATTTCAACCCCTAACATCTGAAACGACATCATGTTGGCAGAGACGTTACACACTGCAAGGAAATAAATTACTCATCTTTTGGCAGGGCGTTTTGTGCCACAGAGAAATAATTTTCTAAAGGGCATCTTGGTAGTATGAAAGGAGGATTTAAGAAGTTTCCAAAGAGAGCCATAAACCCTTAAAGATCTCCAGCCCGTCAGCCAGCTGGCTCTGTCTGTGTGACAACAGAACACAGGAGCCGTTTGAAGATTTGGACTCAGGCTTGCTAAGGAGCTCAGAGGTCATCTAGACCATTTTTGTCAAAAATCAATTACCTAGAACACATGGTCTCTTCTGCCCAAAGACCTGGTTTAATTCTTGA